CAGAAGGGGGGGGTCTGATGGATATTATAGTAATTTAATATTTGAATTCTTGACTATCACGAAAAAACTGAAAGCACTAGATGGCCGTTTCATCCTAGTTCGAACCCTGTGTGCACGACCAAGGATGCACACTGCTGATGAATTTCATTCTAAGTGGAAAAAGCTATCCAGTGCTTTTAGGTTTTCTATAGTGGTCTAACTTTAACTGACTCATGAATTCACCCATTAAATTACTAAAATCTTCATAAAACCCCTCTCTAATTTAAAGTTAACGTCTATTTCATTATTATTTATGATGTTGAATGACAAATCTGTTTGTTGTTATAGCAATTTATTCTGAACAGTTTCACTGTTTGTTTGTTTGTTTGTTTTTCGAGATAAATATTTTCAAATATCTTTTGTTTGTGCTTTTCTTACAATGGAGAGGGGGTAGGAAGCAGGAACGGAAAACAATCCATTTAAGCACGTACAACTTTTACATTTATTACAAGATGAAATGATTTGATATTACTTAAAAAGAAATTAAGACAAAATAAATCCATTAAATTTTTGAATAAACAATTTCTTGTTGACCTGAATGTGGATTTGACTTGATTTAGTTATTTCCCGGTGAACTATATAAAAGAATAGAAATATTCATGTTTTCATAGTTACTTTGTTTATGCAATTGAAAATGTTCAGGTTCTTTTCTTTTCTTTTTTCTGTTTCTGTAAATTAAAGTACTTTGCCTGGGATAAGTGAACTTAAAGATAGAATTTTTAGAAGAAAAAATATATACTAAGCAATGATGGATAGAAGCTAGCAGTGGAATCCAGGACGCGCGTTTCGTCCTAATTGGGACTCGTCAGCTGGATGTACCTGCATCTCAGAGTTGATGTTCACTCTGGGACTCGAACCCAGTACCATTCGCTTCAAATGACAACGTGTAATCCCCTCCCCTCAGCTACTGAGTCCTGATAGCCACTTGCCTGTGTAATGGGGTGAATTTAAATTCACTTGGTATTGTTCTGTTTGTATCTTGCCATCGAGGTTTATGACTGCAATCGATCAATGTGTTATTGGCATATGTGCATACTGTGCGCATGCATCGATATTACCTTAATTCACAAGGTTTTTGTAAGCAAAAATGGATAGTGACTAGCAGTGGAATCCAAGACGCGCGTTTTGTCCTATTTGAGACTCGTCAGCAGGATGTACCTGCATCCCAGAATTAATGTTCACTCTGGGACTCGAACCCAGCACCATTCTCTTCAAAGAATTCTTATATATGTTTTTATATAGTTTTACATTTAAATTAATGTGCCGAACTAAGTGATAGCTCAAATTTAATACAAATACATTTCATTAATGTAATCCATAAATATCATCAAAGAAGAATTAAAGATAATTCAGTGAAAGAGAAGTTTTCTTTTCAACAATATCATTCTATGGTGGTCTAGCTTTAATTGACTCATGATCTCAACCATTGAAATTACTATAACATACACAAAACCCCTTCTCATATTAATTAACATATGCTCACTAGTGACTGACTTCAAGAGGTATATCCTGGAGTTTTAGTGAGAAGTAGTGACCAGTGGAGTTCAACCAGGTCTGTTGTGAAACTCACTGATGACAATGATGAATGTGTCGCTTAATGACGTGGATTAGTTGAAGTTGGACATTAACACCGTTGGATGTCGGCCAGCTCAGTGGTTTAGTGGTTAAGTGCTCGCGCATGTGACTGATAGATCCTGGGTTTGAATCTCGTGGGGGGCGAGACCTTAGATGTGCACTGCTGAGGAATCACACAACAGGATGAAATGGATGTTCAGTGCTTCCGGGTTCTCCATGGTGTTCTAGCTTCAACTGACTCAGGATCTCAACCATCGAAATATCGTTTACTCAAGTTGCATGATTGTATTTACAGTTAATTTACAAATAAAATAGTTCTAATAGTTAAATTCATTAGTTGACCTAAGCTAGACCACCACGACTCGAACCAAGGACCTTGCGTCTCGCTCGCGAACGCTTTATCCCTAGACCACTGAGCTATCATCCAACGGTGTTAATGTTTAACTTTAGTTAATCCTTGATATCTCACAAACATCTTATGTTGTTTTCAGTGGGTAGCAGTTCCACATCTAACGCCCTTTAGCTTCGCTAGTCACGGCTTATCATTAGAACTCTGAGAATTACCTATCGAAGCTAGTCACTTGTGAACATACGATAAATGTCAGTATGGGATTATGGAGATTTCTGAATTTTAATGAATTCATTAACCGATTTAAGTTGGATGGTTTAGTCGTGGAGCTTTCATCGTTCTTCTAAACGACATCATCAGCACAAAATTCAGGTAGAAGTGAAGTGTTCGAATTTCCTCACATATGGCTCACCAGCTTGTCCTGTAGACCTCAACCTTGATCAGTTATTGTTGACCTTTAACATAACATTGTTTACTTCTTTGTTTTGGTTGTATCTCCAATTGGTTTGATTTTTGTTCTTATTTTTGTGCAGAATTTTCCTGATTAGTTGATAAATTGGATTGATTTCAATGTATTTGTTGATTTCTGATTGACCTGAGTGTCAAGCTTCTAAAAAATTCTCTGGTGTTTTGTGAATTGCCTCTATCCAAAATCTCCACATTTTTCCAATCGAATGTGTGTCCGTAGTTGTCCACATGCATTGACATAAAGCACGACATATCATAACGTTTGACTGTAAATTGATGTTCATGCAGGCAAAGATGAAGCAGGCGTCCACTTTGTCCTATGTGGTGTTTTTCGCAGTTGGAACAATTTATTTTCAGGATGTTGTTCGGTTTTTCTTCTTTAGTCATCTCATCCTTTGGTTTGCATAGAACTGACTGAAGTGATTTTACTGGTTTGTATGTTACATCTATCCCGAAAGGCTTCAACAATCTCGTCGTAATTTCTGATATGCCTTTTATATATGATAGGATGATCCGTTTATTAGATTTTGTACTTGGATTTGTTCTTGCTGAAGCGTTTGGTTGATATTATTTTATGTTGGTTGGGTAGCCGTTCTTTGGAAGATAGGCTTTCGATATTTTTCTTCATTCTTCCGCGGTGCAAGTGTATCGTAGTTTGTCCTTTCCCTCTTGAATGAAGTTTGTACGCAGTTGATTTTGTGGGTTCACTAGTTGCTGCTATTGTAATTGAAAATTCGATCTGTGCTGGTTGGCTTCCGACATACTTGAGTCTCCAGTTTTCCTGTGTCTGTCGTGATGAATAATACATCCAAGAACGATAGTTTGTTGTTTGACTAGTGTTCAAGTGTGAACTTTATGTCATCGAGGACGTTTTTGACCAAATTGTAAGTGTTTTTCATCTTACCTTTTTTGACGATTACGAATGTGTCGTCCACATAACGAATACAAATTTTTGGCTTGGTCACTGTTAAGATCTAGGTCTCCAGTTTCTGCACCACGTCTCCTGCAATAAGTCCTGTTCCTTTCGTTTCTTCGAAGATTTTATTACAGAGCTGAAAATATGTTGTTAAGCTTAAATCAATTAGTTCTAGTAAGAAAAGATAAATGATGGGATTAAGGACATTCAAATCAGTAACGACGAATTGATTATATCCTTCGATATAACAGCCCTATTCACTTCAATTGATCCAAGCTTAGCAAAGGAAACTCTATCTCTGCTTCTTACTGATGACAGAAATCTCTCAAATTACCCGAAGCTTCAAAGTCAAAGTTTACTAGAACTCATTAACCGAGGTCTACAGGACAAGCTGTAAGACATATATGAAGAAATTCTAACACTTCACTTCTACTTCAAGTTTGTGCTAATAATATCGTTTAGAAGAACAATGAAACTTCCATAACCAAACCGACCTTTTCAAGAAACAAAAATCCACCAAAATCATCCACTTGAGCTACAAATATTTATTATGATCTAATTAACTATAAACTAAATTGTTGTCAAGCATTAATATTTAATCCCACACATTTGCAACAAGCAAATAATCAAAAAAATGGATAGTGGCTGACAGTGAAATCCAGGACGCGCATTTCATCCTATGTCGGACTGGTCAGCTAGATGTACCTTTATCTCAGAGTTAATGTTCACTCCAATTCTCGAACCTAGAACCATTCGTTTCAAACGCCATCGCGTTATCCATTTAGCTACTGAGTCCTGATTACCATTTGCTTATGCCAACAAGAGACTGATCAATTTCAGTCCTAAACAACAGTGGGAAACTACAAACAAACAGCATCAAGTGAATTTAAACAAATAAAGAGTCGGTGTATATGTCAATGTATAACACAAACTATTCTATCAATTAACTATCATTAAAATTTCATTTAAAATTTATTCTTCATCGAAGAACAGTATTTTACCTCAATTACATTTTTACATAAATAAAACATGTAGATTGATAACTGAATCAAATGAGTAAATAAATAAACATGATGAATCATTATAAAGTGATTTTACCGTTCTTATCTCTGTTCTCCTCTCTCTTTCTTTTCTTCTCACTAAATACATATATATATATATATATATATATATATATATATATATATATATATATATATATATATATATCAGAAAGGGGTTTTGCGAATGGCCATTTCTTCTTAGTATGAGACTCATCAGCAGTGATTATCGATGATCCCGCCTCGCGAGATTCGAACCCACAACTTATCCGTCTCGCGCGTGAATAAATATACATATATAATGGATATGTAGTGGTACTTACTTACTTTATCCCTCTTTCGCCCTCAGTGTATATGTGTGTGTGTTTAATAAGCACATGACACAGTATTTCCTTTTTGTTTCTTAAAAAGAAAACTTTCATTTTTATTGTAATGAATAACAAACTTAATTTAAAATAACAAATTGACTAATTACCTACATGTGTTTGAATGGATTTATTTTCATTAATTTAAACAAAATTGACGATTATAAAATTGGGGATGAGTAGGATATATAGATATATATACAGTAACACTGTTATGACACGATATATTTTGCATTTTATCAATAGTCCTACAGTATATATGATGATGATGATGATGATGATGATGATGATGATGATGATGATGATGATGATGATGATGATGATGATGATGATGATGATGATGATGATGATGATGATGATGATGATGATGATGATGATGATGATGATGATGATGATGATGATGATGATGATGATGATGATGATGATGATGATGATGATGATGATGATGATGATGATGATGATGATGATGATGATGATGATGATGATGATGATGATGATGATGATGATGATGATGATGATGATGATGATGATGATGATGATGATGATGATGATGATGATGATGATGATGATGATGATGATGATGATGATGATGATGATGATGATGATGATGATGATGATGATGATGATGATGATGATGATGATGATGATGATGATGATGATGATGATGATGATGATGATGATGATGATGATGATGATTTCTAAACATGTGTTATCATAAATTATAAGTAGAATATAAATAATAGTATGATGTATGTTATATATGTCTGTCGACATAAGTAGTATGTAACACTAATCAGAAATGAAATGCCTGATAGCAGAATGTTGAGAAGATCCAATTGGTCATGAATCAGAATGTAAGCAGAGAGTAATTGTAATAGCAATGAAGGGACAACGGTGTATGAGACAATTCGTGAAAGATTTGCAAACAAATTCTTTAATGTATAGTTTTCCGCATTTTATGAAAGAACTCTATTTTTCATTGAACAATAAATTGGTTATTCGTACCAAGTTTTCACTGCTCCTGTATGCTGTGGTACGACTGAGAGTGGCGAGGGTCAGCTTTTCTTTTCGAAACGCTCTCACATGGCCACGTGCATACAATCACTGCCAAGGAAGTCCTACTCACTGTCTTCTCTTGGCGCGGGTGTTGTTTACGAAACTGAGGAGAGTGAAAGCGAATGTCCGCGCTTTAACCGGGTTAGTGGATACGGTGAGTCCACCCAAGTGAGTTGGAAAACCCTGATTCCAAACCATTGGTGCACATGGTCTCCAGGATGCTAAGGAAACAAATGGTGTATGATACCATCGTTTATCACCGGCTACCATTGGACTGAATCTCTTGACGTCGCCCCACTGTCTTTTGGATTAGACCTTTGGGTCAAAACTCGGGGTGTAGCCCCCTCCAAGAAAAAACCACTTGTTTCGGTTTGGGCGCCCGGACAGTATCACAGCCTTTACACAAATAGAATAATTCATGTGGAGCGTATCTGTTTGGTGCCTCCTTGTGTCAATATTGTGTTTAAATAATAGTAATAATACTTCGCTCAGTGCAGTAGCATTGCTATGGATTTTACAAAATGTGTTGTTTTTTGGTAAGATAGTGATAATCTATTTAGATTACTGAATAAAAGAGTTCAATTCATAAACAGTAGATTGTGAATACACACTTCTGAAATTTCTTGTACCAGATTGAAATGATCATTCAGTCTTTCTATAATCTAATTAAGATCAGATCGTGATTTAAGATCTATAATAATTCTATCATCTCCACAATACTATAATAATAAAAATATAACAGTATAATTTGCCTTAAATTTATTTAACTCATGACAAAGTATTATTCTCAAATAAGACATCACTTTGAAATCTAGTCATTTCCCCTTAAAATTATGATGTTTTGATGATAGTTACTTTTGTGAACGAACGAACGTTATTAGGATAATTAATAAGGAATATTAACTATTAATTCACTTGATATTGTTTGGCTTGTATCTTCCCATTGAGGTTTAAGACTAAAATTGATCAGGACTCAGTAGTTGAGTGGATAACGTGATAGCGTTTAAAACGAATGCTACTGGGTTCGAGTCTCAGAGTGAACATCAACTCTGAGATGCAGGTGCATCCAGCTGACGAGTCCCACATAGGATGAAATGTGCGTCCTGGATTCCACTGCTAGACACTATCCATCATTGCTTACAATTAACTGTTAATATTAATCAATCAATATGTGTTATAGCAACACTTCTCTGATTAATTTTGATTACGGTTAATTTTATCAAACTCTTTTATTAACTTATTTAACGGACAATGTTATTCGGACAGTAAAAATTTATTTCTCCGTATTATTATAATCACTATCAAATCTGTTTAAACGTTTATGTTTGATCATAAGTGATAGCCCACATACATATTCCTCATTCTAACTTAAATGTTAATCGCTTAAATAACATTTGATGAATCATTCTCTTTCACATGTATATATATGCGCTCGAATCCTATTATTAATCTTTGACTTGTATATCTGTGCCTTGATTCGATCTGACCATAAATCCGCCTCTATATTAGCTCGCATACACATATTAGCCTCTCTGATCCAAATTCGCTCGATGTACTTTTAACTTTGTTATTTGTGCAATCCACTAATAAACTGTTGTCTCTGTTTCTTATTGTCTTCTGATTTCAAACACCGTTGGGATTTATATGATAACGGTTATCAAGATGATCAATGAACAAAGCAAAACCACTACAGTGTGTACACAATTTACCCTATCAAATATTATATCTCGTAAACTTTGAAATATAAATTAAAGGTGTAAACTGATTGAAGGTATATGTTCTACCACTTTTAATCTATTGTTCATTGACTGAAATTCTTAACACACAGACGATTGGATTCCTTACTAGTAGACTAGAAGTCAAGCATCCATATGTGAGATTGAATATATTGGATCATGAATGAATACTGTTATAGACTTCAATACTAGAATGGGACAGTCATTTAGTATTTAGTAGTCTAACTTGAGTCGATTTGTTTTTTCGATAATTTCCACAAATTTTATAATTGATAATTATTACTTCCCCTCTTATATCACGTATAACACATTTTTTTACATACAATAAACTCTCCTAAATATACTGCATGGTCAATGGAGCTTGCGAAAGTTAATCCAAGGAAGATGAGCCGTCGTTGTGCATTCACCGTATTGTTTTCATATTTTACGAATTCAATGTGTAATTTTGCTTAATACAATAAATAGGTCTTCCATACCAAAGATTTCATTCATTACACTAGTTTCATTTGTAAATCATGAATAGCTATCTAAATGTTTTATTTCATTTATTTTAACACATAGATATTGGTACAAAGAGGCACCAAATACATATGCGCCACATAAATCATTCGATTTGTGTGAGGGCTGTGATACTGCCCGGGTGCCCAGACCGAACCAGGTGGTTTTCTTAGGAGCCAACACCCGGAGCCTTCGACATGAAGGTCTGACCCACAAGGAAGTGGGGCAACGTGAGGAGATGCAGTATCATGGAAGCCGCTGACCAACAATTGGTTCGTACGTCATTTGTTTCTTTTAGGATACTGGAGCCCATGTGCACCATTGGTTTGGAATCCGGTTAAAGCGCCGGGCATTCGCTTTTCGTCCTCTCAATTTCGTAATCAACACCCCCGCCACGAGAAGGCAATGAGTAGGACTTTCCTAGTAGAGGCTGTATACGCGTGGCCGTGTGAAAGAATTTCGAGAGGGAGGGCGGGCCCACCCCACTCTCGGCCGTACCAGGGCATTTGGGGGCTATGTTTAGATACTGTTTAGATACTGTGAGGTATTCAACACATTAAACTGTAGTTCTAATGCTTCTAAAAATTTAAAGCTATTGTAAAAATTTAGTCTTCAATGCTAAAATCAAGCGATTATATTCTGAAGTTGACTTCAGTAACACAATTTATATACCCAGTATAGGGAAATATAGGCAATTCAGTCTCTTAAGTTGTTTAAACAATAGTTCAACTTTTATTTACTTTTACTTACTTACGCCTGTTACTCCCAATGGAGCATAGGCCGTCGACCAGCAGTCTCCAACCCACTCTGTCCTTAGCCTTGTTTTCTAGTTCCATCCAATTCTTGCTCATTCTTCTCATGTGTGTATCAACTTTTATTACAAGTACCTTAATTCTTGTATCCAGTTTTAATGCAATCATTTTATGTAATCTGTAACATTTGGTCAGGTCTTACAATAATATCAAAATTGTCTAAGATGTTTTTATCCCATTTCAGTAGATATCAATATCGTTTTACTATAAGTTCAGACTTATTTTATCATATATATTTCTAAATGATTTTGTGATTGACATGATGTCAAACTCTTTTCCAGCTACCGATAATACTGGAGTTTTAAAGAGATGCCATGACCAGTGGAGTTCACTCCGTGTCTAATGTGAGGAAAATGGTTCCCCAATATCATGGACTAAATAAAATTAAACTTGTACACCAATGATAAATGGTCCAGAGATTTAAATTTTACATACAAGATCGAAGATTCTGGGTAGGATTCGTGGATATGTGATCGTGAATTTACACAATTGAAGAGTCGTACACTAAGATGAAATGGCCTTACAGTGCTTTTCTATTTCAACGGTAATTTGTCGAAAACCAATTCATGATTCAATCTGTGAAAATATCCAAAAATATTCAATAATAATCTTATTTTAATTACATGATTTTTAAAAAGATGAGATTATGAGCAATTCAACACCACCACTGGTAGTGGGTGTAACATCGTTCCATTCATGATATCAATCAAAACTTAACAATCTCCACAACGTCATACCGACAATGACGTACTGACCGGTGTGAGCAGCCTTACGTCCTTGCTAGTCCCTTCCCTGCTTAGCTCTACCTGTTGAGTCTTGAACGTTAAATCCAGTTTACACTATACAAACTATTTATTTCAAACATACCTGGTTTATATAAGCCAAACAGACCGCACCACACCCTAAAGTAGGAAATAACATTTATACAAGATCAAGCCCAAAAGTGTCTGCAAACGTGAGAGACCGTTATTCTTAAACTAGGTATAACTTAAAATAATAAATAATATCATAATTGTCTGTAGGTCAAAATAAAGCTTATTACTTACTTACTTAAGCCTGTTACTCCCAATGGAGCATAGGCCGCCGACCACCAGTCTCCAACCCACTCTGTCCTGGGCCTTCTTTTCTAGTTCCATCCAATTCTTGTTCATTTTTCTCATGTCTGTCTCCATTTCTCGGAGTAATAAGTTCTTTGATCTTCTTCTTCTACTTTGAACTTGAGGATTCCATGTGAGGGCTTGTCTTTTGACGCAGTTGGGTGCTTTCCTCAATGTGTGTCCTATCCACTTCCAGCGCTTCTTCCTGATTTCTTCCTCCACTGGGATCTGGTTCGTTCTCTCCCACAGTACGTTGTTGCTAATAGTGTCCGGCCAATGGATCTGAAGTATTTTGCGTAGACAATTGTTAATAAACACCTGTATTTTCTGGATGATGGCTTTCGTAGTTCTCCAGGTTTCTGCCCCATACAGTAGAACTGTCTTGACATTTGTATTGAAAATCCTGACCTTGGTGTTGGTTGACAGTTGTTTTGAGTTCCAGGTGTTCCTCAGTTGTAAATATGCTGCTCTTGCTTTGCTGATCCGCGCCTTACATCCGCGTCAGATCCACCCTGTTCATCAATGATGCTGCCCAGATATGTAAAGGATTTTACATCTTCCAAATCTTCTCCGTCACTTGTGATTGGATTGGTGCATGCTGTGTTGTATCGGAGAATCCTGCTTTTCCCTTTCTGTATACTGAGACCTACTGCTGCTGAGGTTGCTGCTACACTGGTCGTCTTCTCCTTCATTTGTTATTGCGTTTGCGATAGAAGAACCAGATCATCTGCGAAGTCTAGATCGTCCAGCTGCATTCTAGCTGTCCACTGTATCCCATGCTTTCCCTCAGATATTGGCGTCTTCATGATCTAGTCAATCACCAGGAGAAAGAGAAATTTTGAGAGTAAGTAATCTCGCTTAACCTCAGTCTTTGAAAATAAAGCTTATCATTAAAAAAAATCTAAATCTATATAATCTAGTTATACAATAAGAATATATGTATAATATTAGTCCATAAATAGTTTCCAAAAGTTACCCATAATTAAATGCTTGTTAGGATATAAAAGGGGGAACTTAAGATAGTGGAGAAGATTTGTAGCTCAGGTGGATAATTTTGATGGAGTTTTGTTCTCTAAGGTCAATAAGAACCAATCAACATCGAGGTGTACAGAACAAACTGTGAAACGCATATGGAAAAATTCGAACACTTCACTTCTATCTGAAGTTTGTGCTGATGATATCGTTCAGAAGAACGATAAAAGCTCCACGACTAAACCATCCAACTCAGAGAACAAAACTCTATCAAATAGGAAGGGGGAACTTAAATTTATCTCAAATTTTATTATTTTATTATTAACAAAAATTTAACAAAACAAGACGAAAACAAAATTTTTCTTTTTTGTTTTTAAAAAAAACAACAACAAAAAACCTCGTCTAATTTAACATGGTTCACAACTATTAACGCTACATTCATTTCACTTTAAACATGGATTCCCTTGACGACAGCAACAACAACAACAACAACAACAATAAAATGAATTCAAATATTTTGGCGGAAACTTCAAATATGTTGGGAAATTTCATTAAAATTTTTATTTTAATTTTTAACTTTCAACAACCTTTTTTTTCAAATTCATTTTCGATATGATTTAGTTTAATGGATTATTAATTTTTTTTAAAATTATTGAAGCATTTCACTATTATTGAAGTTGTCATTGAATATTGAATGTAATAATTCTATGGTTTATTAAACATATTTAATGAATTACTATAATTAGTAATGATCAACCGGAATTTAGCCATTATTTTATCTTTCAATTAATATATATATATGTAACATTTAACATAATTGACTATTGTAGATAAATGAATGAATAATGATTTGTAATATAATATGAAATAGTAATGTGTTTTACATATGTTGTAGTGTTGGTTATTATGTTAAGCCTCATATACCACCTTATTCTCTAGCTTTTGGGATAGTCCATTCTATTCATTCTACTTCAGTCACATTCTGACGTTGTTATTTATCCGCTTAATAATCTTGACTAGTTTTAAATGAGCGCATAGGTGTGTGTACATTTCTTATCCCATTACTGAGCACATGTCTGTAACATACTTTTGTGTAACTATAATTATTGATTAACGTTTGGGTAAATGGGAGTTGGCTTACCCGTCATCTTCACTGCGTGTCGTTTTTCTTTGTTCCGTTCCATTTGCTTCATATACAAAATATATGTATTCAAAAGTCCGTTCTCGTTATTCGACTTATTTAATTCCGTTATTGACTAACGTGATTTAAGTCGATGATTATATACGAGGATAGGCGACATATATATTTCAATAACAATTATGATTACGAACTATTTGGAGTGAGATTTCGGGCGACTAAATTGGAGAGCCCTTTCCACAACATCGTCCGATCTAAATGACGACAAAATAAAGGGTCCCACAAAAACTTCTTTGAAAGAAGTGGATAACAGTCTTTCGAAGTAAAACTCTTTCTGTTTATATGTACATTGTAAGAATAATATGGAATAGTATTGCTAGTGGAGAATGAACCAATGGGTTACATCATTAGTGTAATCAGTTTTTAGTAAGTAAACTGTTTCAATGTTAGAGATTTGTGGAAATTATTAAATCAGAAAATGAAAGTATGTAATCACTAGAAAACTACTTTATCGTTAAAATGCGATTTTTCATCAGTTCATGCCCTAAGTTCTCTCCATGGTGAACTAATAGGTATGTACAGCCAAGTTGTTCTATACTAGGTCAAAACAACTAATTCAGTGATTATCCAACTAAAATCATTTCAAAATGTAAGCTGCAATAGTAAACTGTTTGTCGGACTTAAGCATGAATTTCTTTATAAAATCAAGTATTCGCCGAAAAGGAGACTGTAAAATGGTCTTAGTATATCTAGAGCGTAGATTCTTGATATATTGCGTACTACTTGAGTACTTGAACGCTAGAACCCTCCAAGTCACAAATAAGAAGACAAAAGAAGAGTGAGAGGGAATTTTATTTAGAAACATTATCAAATATGGTACAAAACTTTCAGGTGTTTATAGTTTTTAGTAAAAAAATGAAATCATCATTACAGCCATCCAATCCGCATTCAGTGGTTTTTAGCATTTGTCCAATAGGGAAGTTACACGTTGAGATTCTGGAATGTCCGCTCAAAGATGAATAGATAGAATGTCTTCAGCTGTTTCTAAGATTCTTATAGCTTCCTTAAGTGTTATATCCCGATAAGAATAATGAATGGTAATTTTTGGGATCCATTTATGGACCAAGACTATGAGTATATTTTTATCGTATAACTGCCGTGTAACTAATCTGTTCATATTCATGTCCCTCTTATTATGAGCTTTATTTTGACCTATGAACTATTATAATACGATTTGCCATTCTTGAGTTATGGCCTGTCTATTAATTACTATCTCCCTCATTCACAGCCTCATTTGACTCATTCTTGTACAAATGTTGTTTCAGATTTTATGGTACGTTGTGGTCTGTTTGGTTGATATATAAACCAAGTATATTTGAAATAAATGATTCATATTGCAGAGGCTGAGATTGGTGTTCTGGACTCGACTGGTTGGGCTAGGCGGAAAGCAGGACCAATCAGGACTTCAGGTTGCTCGCACTTGTTTTATGCGTCCTTGGTCCGATCGATAATCCGTTGCTCTCTGATTGGTGGTATCGTTGCGTTATACAATAAACAGAGCACACAGGTTCACAAGTTATAACACTGAGTTCACCCGTGGGCCATCCTCACAAGTCTATAAATATCAACTGCTATGTCAAAGTTATTCTTGTGATTACCTAATAAGGATTAACAACAACGTTCAGATTTTCCAATCAATATAACATTTTGTTGTTGATTTATTCAGGTATTATAATCAATGATTGTTATCATACTCTGATATTTTCTGTTGATACCAAGATCACAATAATCCTTCATGAAATTGGAAACATTCACCAATAAAATAGTCACTAATGACCACATATGTTTTTGATTAAGTTATAATGATTGTTCAGTCATTATGATATATAAATGAAATCCAG